AACCTTATTATTATACATCTTTTCCATTCAAGGTACATCATGAGAATGCCAAAATCTAAAAAGTTTAGAACAGAATCAGCGAACTTCTTTGTGTGGAGTCCGATCAAACTCCATTGGCAGCCATGTTTGTTTTTATTATGAGATGACGCTTACGTGCGTTATCAATCCATATTTGGAATTCGCATTTCCTTATATGATAGGATGAAAATACCCCGTAAAATACCGCAAAATTACGGCACGCTGTAACTTATGGTGTTACGGTGACAGATGTATAATAATATAATACTCGGTTCAACGGAGTATAACTTTCCCACATTAAATTTCAAATTCACCCGGGGATTTGTATTTTTGTGATGTGAATACCTATGTTGTGAATAAAACATATTGTAAAAAAATATGCAAAAACAAAAGAACCTTTTTCGGGGGAAACTAAGAGAGATAATATGATTTCTCTCAATAACGAGATGGAATATTCATTCTATGGTTGGGTATATTATTTTTTACTTTATCACTATTATGGAATAGACTGGGTTTATGCTACTTTATATTTTACGCGATCCCCAAATGACAAAATCCTTTTTCGGGACACCTAAAATTGTGATTAATGTTTTGAAACAAAAGAAAATGTCACGATCGTGCAGACAACTTTGGATGCAGCTTCTCACAAACCCGGGACTATAATATTTTTTATTCGACCGACCAGATAAGTAACGTTATTTTTTATCAATTGAATGGAGTACCATTATTTATTTAACGTAATATATGAACGTTTGGAATTTGTCGAATTCAAATGTTCTGTTAAGGAATCTTTCAACGATTATGCAGTACTTAGAAGGTAATTAAGTGCTGCTTTTATACCGGCATACGTCTCCTCTCCAGATGGAATGATTTGATCTTCGGGTAATAAGAATCCATACTCTCCGTCATCGCGAAGCTCTATGACGTACGAATACGGTATCCCCATGGTGCCGTACGCAAAGTCATTGGCATTACCAGCAGCTTCGTCTGTAACAATATTTATACACACAAAAATACACTTATTACCTGATTACATTCATACAAATTTATAATTGTATTTCTAGGTTATCAATGTTGAATTATGTCACTTCACCTGGATTTATATAAAATGTATACAATGATATTACTTACAAAGTATCTCGCCGCATGACCCGTAGGTGAAGACTAAGCCACTGACAGCAAGTGTTGCGTTAGTTCCATAAGCAGCCATTTCCATCTGCCCGAGTAAATGAATGCATACATTACATTGTTGCGAATACACACATTGTACCAGGCGCGCACTGGACACATTGGATTGGTATGTCTGTTCGTAATTAATACTTGCCGGTATTGCCGGTAGTTTGAATTTGATTAGTGGACATTTGAGACAAGTGTATATGATTGATAATTCTGTTTGTGAATCTATTCATGGAGGTTAAATGATACTTGCCATATTGTCGTAGTCTGGATTTGGTGGGCGTTCGTCGCCAGTGTACGACCACGGAAGCAACCACAATTGACCATAACTGTGAAAATTTACGTAGAATTGAATGTCAGCACCTCCACTCGCCAATGCTTTTATGTAGTTTGTGTCAGTGAGAACTTCAACTTCTGAATAAGGGTGGGTTCCACGATACGTACTTGCACAAGCCAGTCCACTAGAGCCAGTGCCTAATAATAATTATAATAATAACTTTAATATCAAATATTAGCGTTGATGATATATTCGTTTAAAATAAACGGTTATATAACGCAGATTAGTTCACTTGCCTCCCCATTCATATTCAAAATTTCTATTCCCGTCAGTGCCTATGCATGTACTACCTTCGTTAGGCGATCGTGTCTTCCTCCACATACGATCCTGTTAAAACAACGATTAATTAATAATCTAGATATTAATCTAGCTGACACCCTGCGCACTAACTAGAGATTTGTAAAATGGTTGATATGATTGTTAAGGCGTCCACTCAGTATCTCTAACCTCTTCTTAATAGGCTTGCCAAGTATCGGCCTATCTATAATAGGGTTTATCTGCTCGTATATTTATACTCACTTCATTTCTTGAATGTTCATATCCATCAGGATTCATAGAAGGATTTATGTAAAAAACGAACGTATCTAAGAATTTTGTCACGTCAGGATCTGTGCCATAGTCCGCTAAAAGCTAATAAGGAATTACAATAATGACGATGAAAGTCAATTATTATTATTATTTTGAATGGACTAGAAAACTATGTCAATACGTGTCATCTATTTTTGTCTGCACACAACGAAGTGTGGCTGTTTTTGTTACATTTAAACTGTAATAATAATAAACACTGTCTGCTATTGTAGTGGCATTTCTGAAAACATGTGTGATACCTGAAGCATTGTGACTAAACAAATCCTGACTTGTGAAATTGATACTTACACTGTCGGTAATGTACATAAGTGTTGCTGGTGAAATCCATTCACGTGCATGAATACCAGCTTCGAGCCATACCACTTTCTTGAATGGCTGGGGATCCGAACTAATCTGAAATGGGAACACAAATTTGTCAAATTTCATAATCTGCATAATTATGTAGATGAAATCAGGCACATTAGATACTGTTATGCATCCACAGATAAACGAAGTTGATTTTAGTTCAAGTCACCGGAACGTCGTTGATGTATAAGTAGATTTGTTTTACCTTCAGCCCTCGTATTTCTCTGCCTTCATACGACGTGTCTGCAAAAGCAAAATCCACAGCAAGATTCGGATATTGAACTGGTTTAGATTTCACCCACTGTAAAATCTGTTAAAGTGAGACATTGGATATAAAATTACGAAAATGCTCAACCAAATACAGATTAATTTCGCCGAATAAACACAGCTAATAATGACTGGTACGCATACGAATTAAATGTCACATGCCTCATCGTAGCTGCGATACTGTGTATAGAAGTTGGCTGTCACATCATCTCCTCCATTGCGACTAGTAAACTGGTTATCAATCAGTGTCTGTACATCTTCTATCCATACTTTGTATTGGATGCCATTACTATTCAGACGTCGTGTTACCCACTCTTCTTGCTCGGGCGACACCATCACATCACGAGGAAAATCCCAGAAATCCAACTGAGAAGAAAATAATAATATAATTTAGACAAAACCACGTACATCGATGGTTTCTAAAAACTCGAAAAACGTATGCATTTCTTCTTCACCTTACGTATCGACAGGGGAAATATTAGAAATATTTCGAGAGAGGAATCACTATTTGCCTTTGAAGTTTAAATTCATTAATCAGGAAGTTTAAATTTAACTTGACGTTAGACAGTTACACCACCACATTGACCATTAATAAAGCAGTAATATAAGCAAATACATTCACGTACGCTTGGCACATTCTGCAGCCTTTTCAAAACTTCCATTTCAAATTCATTTTGCGGACTAATACGTAGAACCTTGTACCTATTAAGAAAAGTTAATCGGTTGGTAGACTTAGTTTTGAATCAATTCTGTAAAACAGTGTGCAACTTGATGCGTCTACAAAATACTTCTCTGTGTCACTCACGATCGCAGTTCCAGGTATTCTGCCGAATGATAACTAAAATAGCTAATCCTTCAACTGTATCACGTCATAAGACGCACGGAAGATTATAATGAGGTTGCCAAGGAAGAATTATAACATTCAACTTTTCAAATTAGATTTTTAAAATTCAAAATTTGTCCCATTCAATATTATTCGCCATATGTTATGTTATGGTTGTCACATCGCATTTCATTCCAATCAGATATTTGTATGCACAACCAGAATAAACAGAGATGTTCTTAACACTAGTCGACTTGGAATTGAACCTACTAGAGTTTAATTACGCATCACATTCACGTACACCCCCGTATAACCTCCATTTAATATGTCTGTTCAGTCTGGTCTGTGATATCTTAGTTCCGAAATATGGCATGTTAATATCCAATTGATTACTATTATATTCATGGCATCACGATTGTGAATCACCCCATGTATATATACATTAGGATCAATTCAGAGTCCTATAGACGGCAACACATGGCACAAAATAGGCAAGTACACCGATTGTGTGAAAAAAAATCTATGAACATCTTCTCTTCTGCCATGTTCTTTCAGTTGTCAATTGCTGAGTACAAACACTATACAGGACTTTCGTATATTGTTCGATATCAGTGTACGTACCCGTCATATTTAACTTGCGCGGCTTGAATAGAACCAACCATGAAACAAACAAGCAGCGGCAACAGCATTGTGGATCGTTGTCTCATTGCTCTTCCAAATGAGAATGAGCGAATGGCGTGGGAATAAAATTATATCAAATGACCACTAACATAATATATAAGTCATTTCCGACGATGCCCTCTTTTACCGATGCAGAGTTGTTTATTTGATTAAATTATTGACAGACACAAGGTGCCGAAGACATATAAAAAATACTGATATGCCGCGCCAAAAACATATGTTTATCATTTCATCCAACTCACGATATGATTATTGATATCAGTATCTGGGTCATGATACGGGAAAACCTATGACGTACTTCCTGTTATAACACCTGTCTTTGTTAACCGGTGGATGGGGTTTGTACAGGCGCGTTTTGTAATAAAATGGTTGATGCGTTTTGTAATAATTTACGCTTTTTGTAACAAGCCTTGACCTATTTTGTAATAAAAAAAAATGACTGACGCAAAATGTAATAAGATTCACACCATCTTATCATAGTCTCATGTTACGAGTATTATGATTATTATAATTATATTTATGGCGGTTACATAATGTTTAGAATTATTAAAATTCATAATTATTTTATTTGTTAACAAAAGATCTTGGTATATATACTACCCTCTTTTATGAAGTTAAGTTATTTAAATAGATTTTGATAGAGTTCAGTATTTGTACAAGCATTGATTATATCACCAATGTCTGTTAACATCGGAATAGAAGCATAGAAAAAGTATAATTCAAGATTAATGTAGATGACGGACTGCAAACGCATGAAGGCTTGTTACAAAATGCGTCGTTATAACACAAAACGTGCCTGTATAGGGTTCTATGTCATTTTGGTTTTTCTATGTCACTGAATGCTGGCGGTAGAACTACGATGACTAATGGTTGCATTCTTACTGCTTCCCTCTTTCCTCACCCATATCTAGCTATATCTCTCACCGTCTGTCCATCTCTATCTATTCTTATAAACGGGGGAATGCATTACACCGAGTCGACTGCTGTGCAGGTACTTTTCATCTGGAAACAAAATAGACAAAGCACTTCATTCAAACAATATGCATACTGTTTTGGGGCATGATTATGTGTATTTTATCTAATATGTATTGTAATTGTAATTTTTTGCAGTTCTGTGTAAATCCCAAGATCCATATTGTGTAATATAAATCAGTATAATGTTTGCTCTATGCGATAAGTCTGATAATTGTTCATCATTGTCGAAAATATCAAAATAAGCAATATCTCGATATTTTGGTGGTTTTACAGTATATTCGTTTTTGTTGATAGTTAGGAATTGAGAGACTTCAAGTGTTTCTGATTGTTTCAGATATTATTTATACACTTTGATGGTCACGCTTCGTTGTTTTCATCAACGTCCTTATTCGAACTAACTTTGAAATGAAATAGGAAATGCATAAATCTGTATTGTTGCTCACAAATAATAAGTGTATTGGTATTTAAATCTGGATTTTAATTAGAAAGTAAAATTATTTTTCAATAATAAAGCGCACATAAATATTTTATAAATATAATCATATCATAACCAAAACCAATACGTTTCCTGATCATTTCTAGGTAATTGATTTGATCTATCATAATGATGAATTACCATAAATTCACAAACTGTTACAATAGGAATACACGATTCTAAAAGTGTTTGCCGTTATTAGACGGGTTTTAGAAATATTTATAATTAGATCATGCTTTGAAATTACAAGACACTAAGATTATTTCTGTTTTGTCATTGGTCAATCTTCCAACTGAAAAAATATGTGACAACGTGTCGACAGTGGTTTCTTGACCATCGGGATGGCGTATAAATTACCATAATGCAATTATTAAATGAAATGTGACCTATCGAGCAAAACACACTGTATGTCATTCTTTACAGATACAATTTGCATATAACAAAATCTGTCAAGTTGATTCAACGTTCATTCATTTTTTTTTTAAATTATGGATACTCATATTTTTTCAACGTGGAAATATTACGTGGTTTCAACTATAAAAAAATAAAAAAAATTGTATCCCATGTTCAATGTTAGGATAGAGGTTGTGTCACGGTTTAGACCTGCTGGGTTGTAGTTGTGAGTGTGATACGTTGTTCCGTGTCTACATGTCCGTAATATATCAGTAATTTATATTCCGTATATTAAGGACATCAAAATAGACATAGCCAGTACAGTACCTAAATCCTAAAATGAAAGTTGGATGTGGTAAATTAAATTGAACTGGTGGTCAGATCATACGTTCAACCTCGTGACGTCAGAGTAATTAGCCGAGCACCCACAGTGATCACAAAGTAAAACAATTCTATCTGCAGATACTACCATTTATTGTTTAAGGCACCTACCTTTACAGAATAATTAAAAATCAATATATAGCTTTAAATAAATAACGTAAATATGACATCAATTAATGCAGAAATTAAGGTAGAATCCCACATGGGAAACATTAATCAGTGTCAATTTCATATCACAGTTTTCTGTGCTAGTGAAATAGAAGCCATGTGACGTCATCTTCTTCTACTTAACTGTAAGGTCATTATTTATACCGAAAAAAACTTTTGAAAGTTGAGCAAGTAGAGAAACTTTTTGGCTAATAGTTTGGAAGAAAGAAGATAATCTCTTTAAACGCTTTGTACATATACTACAGTATATACTATACTATTTCTGCTATTCTCGAAAACAGTGAATCAAGAACTCATTGATTTTATAAAGACGTGATTTTAATATTAATGTAGCGTTGCCACGGGCACCAGTACTGTTACATAATGACGTTAAACTTGAAACAATACAATACAATACAATAATTTTAATTACAATTCTGCCATTACTAATTCACAAGACTTCAAAAAACCCGCATACGTCTCTTCTGATGTTGGGATGATTTGGTCTTCGGGAAGTAAAAAGCCATAACTTCCTTCATCGCGAAGTTCAAGTGTGTAGGAATATTTAATGTTGGCGACACCATACGCCCAATCAATTGCAGACCCCGATGACACATCTAAAATAATAATAATAATAATAATAATAATTTATAATATAATTTTATAACTGATATTTGCAAGAATTTCCTGTAAGAAGACTCAAATGAACGATATCGGTTAAAAATAATATTTGTTATAAATACTGAGTGACATACACAGAACTTGAGCCACTGTGCCATACGTATAGGATGTACCATGAACAGCTTCCAGAGCATCACAACTTTGCCTTGCTACGTTCAACTGTAAAAAGAAACACATGTAATAAACTCCCAATAGTTGGTCGCCTATCCCGAGTTGCTATTTTGTACTACATACTACTCTGATTATGCATATAGTGTGTAGTGTTCGTGTGCATGAGATACGTTGTGGCAATTTCTCTTCAGAGAATTCGGGAGATTGTTCCATCGTCAGTATTGTGTCAGTGTGACATCATTTTGACAAAAGTTTTTTTAAACGGTTTAAAGGTCTTTTTCTAGTTTTTATGTAATCATAATATTGTAAAACTCAACATGCCAATATGACATCACTGAATATGAACTACGCTAATATGTCTAGCTTACAGTAACTAAAATATGAACTCACAACACACAGTATATGAATACAGAATATATATGAAAGACATCCAATTCGTGGCAATATATTAGTTAACGAATGTAATAGTTTGCATATGTTCAGAACTTCGTGGCGAGGAAAACATGGAAATTACTACATATTATAATAAATACAATATTACACGGATATACCTTTTCTCACATGTATGGCATTTTCAGCCGTTTCACCCAAACGTTACAAAAATCGTTACAGTGAAGGGCACAGAGCTATGGCAGTATAAACGTTTTATAAATATATATTTTTATAAATTAAATGTTTGAAACCAATTGAATACGATTATAGGGACACATTGGCAATTCTTAACAGTAAATCGGAAAGAAGTAGTATTTTTTCATTAGAGAGAACGAATCCCGTGCGTTACCACTATAAGATTGGAGGATTGGAAACGGCGAAATATTCAAATTCAATTTAACACGAAAACGCACATATTTGTGAATACACGAAACTCTCGGTATATAGTAAAACATACAGATTGATAATATTTCAAATAGTTCTAACAAACATAATTTGTTTAGTAGTTTAGTGTGTTTTCATTCAGGGGGCCGAGCTGACTTGTTAGTGACAGTTTCAAATAGCACATCAGAACAAATCATGTCTGCGCGCTCAGATGTAATGTACAAAAAGATATTTATATTATTCTTATAACAATCCATGTTTACAATATTGGGATTGTCACACTTACATGGTCCGATTTGTGACTAGGGTCCATAGTTGAGTAACCCCACGGTGATAACCATAATTGGGAATAACTGTGCATGTCAAAAAACAATTTAAAATCTTGTGTGGATGACTTATCTAGGATAAAATTTGCCACATTTTCAACTTCAACTTCTGACTGGGGGTATTCGCCACGGTATGTTGAAAAGCAGGGGTTGGGACTCGCACCGCCGCCTGGAAAGATGTAGAGAAATATAAATATCAACTTTGCGTTTGTATGGAAATCATGACGTAGTAAAGGCATGTCTAAAATAAACTGGCGGAGAGTGTGCTCACCTCCCCACTCGTATTCCCAGTTGCGATTTGGGTCCGTTCCCACACATTCTCTTCCTTCATTCGGTTTACGAGTTTTTCGCCACAAACGGTCCTAACGAGAATAAGAATATGCCAGATCGTCAGATTGCAGCATTTGCAATATAAATATAATTGAAGAGTCTTCGAATTAAATATTAGTAAATATATTGATAATTAGTTGCAAAATATTGAAATAACTATGCTAGGTATAAGATAAATGAAAGATGATTAGTATATGAATGAATGAAGTCTATAAGGACTACTGACCTCGTCCCAGGAGTATTTATATCCATCAGGATTTACCAGTGGTACGACATAGAAAGTGAAAGTATCTAATAACCGTGTGACCAATGGATCGTTGCCATAATCAGTCAGTAGCTACAATATACAAGATTACACAGTCATGGAATAATTCGATACTGCTCGAGCATAGTGTGTTGAGAGATGCTCTAATTTCTGAACTTATTCGTGAATTACCTGGTTAGTCATCCACAGCACTGTCGCTGGAGAAACCCATTCACGGGCGTGCTGCGCCGATTGTAAGAATACGGCAGGTTTTTTAACTGTCGATCCGCTACTTATCTGCGATTATAGAGAAAGATTGTTTTATATTTTTTATCAGTAAGAACGTACTGTATGACGTCGATATGTAATGGACAATATTTGGTAGTCGTATTTACTATATAAAGTTAATTTGCGAGCTGACAGAATTACAATTAAGGTAAAGCTCCACAATCGTCGACGCCGTGTCGCAATTTCGAATTCGCAAATTGTTTATTTGTTCACATCTAAATAGTACACACTATTTCACCTACTGTTAAATACTTCATACTTCTCCCCTCATATGACGGCTTGTCAAACTCAGAAAATGTTGCCAAGTCTGGAAATGCTGACGCAATATCGACTACCCATTGATCAATCTGACAATAAACAGAACAATGTTAACGTGATTATAAATTGAATACGCGCTTCATGGAGGTTTGTGGTTAAAGGTAGGCGTTTCTCATTGGCAAGCACTAATAAATATCAGAGTAACTTTCACCTACCTCGTCATAGGTGTGGTATACACTGTAGTCAAACCGTTCTTGAATGTCCAATAAACGTTTTCTGAACTGGTTTTCCATGAGGTATTGAACGTCATCTACAATTACATTGTGTTGGATGCTGTATTGATCTAATAAAGCTTTCACTTCAGTGACATCATTTTCTGAAACCATCACGTCATGGGGGAAATCCCAGAAATCGACCTAAATATTAAGATTAATTGTTAGCAATTACTGCTTAAACAAAACACGTCTAGGAAGTACTTCACGGAGCAGTTACTCACTTCTAAAAATTCTTCTAGCATTCGCATGACTTCAAGTTCTTTTTGCGTTCCCACCTCTGCTCGCAATACTTTGTAACTGAAATAAACACATCAACATGATAATTAATTGTCAATTAATGACACGATTTCCTATTCGAGGAAACAACACACACAAACGCAGATGTATTTATGTCGTGCTTACCCGTCATAGCGCACTTCCGCCACCACATACACCAAGACATGCACAGCTATGAAAAGAAGAGATCGCAGCTGCATTTTAATGGATTGGAGACGAATAACCACGTGCTTCTACCTCTGGGGTTATGCCTGTGCGCCGTTTTATAGCTTGATAGTCACGACTCAAGGGTCACGACAAAGGGAGTGGCAAGTTATCAAACTGTCAAATTCAATGTTAAGAAAACACGGAGATTCCAAACAAAGATATTTGTACAGATGTCACCTGTAGAAATCTACATATTAATTTCGTCTCACAGACACAGGTTTGATGCAAATGCTTGCTGTAGCGGTGTTGTTCCATCTAAATAAATGGTAAATAAATATGGATAGAAAAAATATAATATAAATTTGGATTTTGATATACTACAGTTTAGTAATTTCAGTTTATGATTCAGATGTATGATGGGATAGATTGTTAGACTCAACCAGGTGTTTACTGTCGATTAGGTGTTTGATTAACAAATAAAAACGGATGTTGAATCAGTTTGAATGTATATGTACAGCACCACTATCTTTCTTACTATTAAATAGGGTAGGCCATTACAGTGAATGCAGCACGTTGCTTGTGCGTGACGCATAGCATGTGTTTAGTTCGTGAACTTGAACTATCTGTGCTCAACAATGCTCCACATGAGTTGTGGGAAAGTTGTGACATGTGTGGCTGGATTAAGTATGTTTACTTGACCTGGAGAAATTCACACTCCCAAGCAGGTACAAATATCCATCGCGAACATATGAAATATTTGTAAACACGTGTGAAGCATTGTCTTTGCAAAGTTGTTTTTTAAATTGTATTCATTCACACGTCTTGGCGTCTCTAGATTTAATTGATACTATACCATAATTGTTGATTTTTGTCTTGTCTTGTCTTTGTTTTGTCTAATATATTTACATTGTACTATTATCATTTATGTCTGCGCAAAAAAAACTTTTGACTGATCTGACTGTCGTCCAACTCCTGATCAATGAGAAAATTAGTCGACCAATCATATAACACCTTACAAACAGGGTGCAATTGCATTATACGCAACGTAGATGATACAGGCAGTTTCATTGCTGATTTGTGAGAATTGAACGAGATTATTAGTATCATAAAAAAACAATCTTACATAGATGACATTTCATTATCATACCAGCTTAATCATTGGAAATTATTTGACCTACAGATTTAACAACAAATTATTATGTTTTTGTAATTATTATGTAATTGATTTGTGATTATTCACCCACAACTTTTCAAAAAGGTAAGCAGTGAACAAAAGCGTGGCGATTACCCACTAATCTACAAAAGACAAAGTATCAAGTTACACAGATACACGGCAATTACAATTGTTGACATGACTAGAATCGATACTATTATGGTAAATCCAATGATTTGTGATTGGTTTATAGAGTAAACTTTGGGTTGAAATGTTGTAAATGGCTCGAAGGCGATCAGTAGTTTGCTTATGAATTGACAAATGAAAACCCTCTTCTGAGCGGCCCCTTTATTACTGACCTCGGTCTGCGTGACACCTGCTTGCATTAATTATAAATGCACGTGACATGTATGGCCGTGATTTTACTGTGAGTACAGACCAGATGAATGTCACTTTCATTTCCGAATTTGAATGTGACAGTTATGAGAAGCTGTACGTTTCTTAGTCAGAACTCTTCAATACGACAAAGCAACAATATCAGTTTTATGTGTGGAATCATCAAGTGCTGAATACAGCGATATAATTATTACTCTGTAAAAATGAATCAAATCGAATTTCGTGGAGGGCCAAGTAAGGAGGATTGCTTAACTCCCGTAAGGTGTCGTTTAATTATGTCAGTCAGTTGGAGGATCGTCAAATAAAGTAATGTTAAATGTGGTACAGATGATATTGGTATAAGACACTGATATCAGCTAAATGTGCATTCTACTTACTTTGATGAACAAGATAAAGGATGACGCAATAAAATGTTTACCACACTAGGCACTAAAGGTGATTTTTTCGTATTGCTTATGAATGTTAAAGTAATTGATAGTAAGATGCCGAAAAATCGTCAATTGTACTGCAAAGTGTCATATCGCACATTAGGGTTACACAATAGATGTCTGTCATTGTCAAGGTTAATTATTATGAAGTATTTGTATTTTTACCCGGTCACAGTCACAGTCGCAGCTTCGCTGTAACACCTTTAGATTTAAAATAAAAAAAAGACCGGCAATAAATCTGTCTCGCTAAAAGTTGCGGCCAGCAATGGCACGACAGAATTAAACACCAGGAATTTATTACGATGTAGATCATGGTTATGAACTGTGATTTTATAACGCATAATTGTAAATTGACTGACAATGCAAGTCTCTCAAAACGTGAATGTTATTTGCCTGGGAATTTGGGCATGACAACAACGAATATTTAAATTGTCACAAAAACAATTAAATGTATTGTTGTATCTTGCACTTTAAATTTATCTAATAGTGCAGGTGTTATTAAAATACAACCTTAAATGTTTGCATGTTATATAAATGTGCAATTTATAATGTGTTTGCTTTATTCATGAGTGATATTATTCATATGCAGATTAATATATAATTTTTTGAATTCAAATTATCAAACACGACCCTTGTTTTGACACGTGAATTAGTTTCAAATTTGCGTTTAGTTAACTGCAACACGAGAACGTGTTAGGATTCACTAATTTATATGAGAACAATGATGTTGGCTTTCATTTATGACCCACAATGATTCACGTGACTTGTAGTGAAACAACTCCCTGAGTGGATGCCTACAAGTCCTACAAAAATTGATTTCGCCTGTGCGACTTTTCTGACGACATTTGTGACTGTAGCGTTGGGTGGCAGCTACCAGACTGCCTGAGTTGCAGTCAATCTGATCCTGGTTGGCTTAATTTGTTTTAATTTAATTTTAATATATTTTATTTTTATTATTAATTTTAATTATAATTATTTATTTTAATTTAATTTGTTTTTACAAAAGAATTGCAGCACCGGGTTAGTTGGCTTTCAAAAAACAAAACAATTCTTGCAGCAAAATAATTGTCACATAAAAAAAATAATAATTATAGTAATTAAAAAAATAAGCCAACCAGGATCTAATTTTAATCAGATTGGAGTTGCAGTGTAACATCACGCTCTGCATTTAAACATGTTACATGTTAGCCATAAGTGTTACTGCTCGAGAGAACATCTCTGCTACTCGTGTGATTACTATGCCAAACATAGTTCGTCATTTTGGTGAATACAAATACACATTGTTTTATATATTTTTTTTATCAGATTTCGTATACAGGTCTCGTATGCTTTATTTTCATTGCACTGAGATGCATGCACGGCTGTAAAACTCCCTCCTTCCATCATCTGACATATGTACTTCATGTACGTCATGTACGTCATGTTTGTGCATGTAGATCAATTGACCCCCCCCCCCAAACAGATAAAGCGCATTCAAGTATCTCTCTCTCAGCCAATGTATTTTTATTGGATCCCTCCACATGATCCATATAAGTGTAGATTTCGCCATAAACTGCGTAACTTGTAGCTTTCTTCTTGTATATCGGCATTCATTGCCTTCTGTTTGAAAAGGATATAGAATATACGCGATAAGATTACTATGTTATTGCACACTCAACTATATTCATAAACCAATTGATTCGTTAGAATTATGTATTGATCAAGATACTATTAAAAAAAGCCAAGAAAAATAATTGTTGTATTTTTTCATTCTAAAATAACTATTTAACGAGTTCCATAAATAGCATATAGAAGAGTATGGAATAAATCTGTAGTCCCCATAACAGTTTTAAAATGGTGCACTTCCGGTCAATGGGCGTTGCCATTTTGTTTATTGTTTTACAAATTATGAGAAGCGAAAAGAGCTCATTCATGATGAAGCAACTTGAGAATGTTCAGTGATAAGGCAATCATGTTCTGGCAACGGACTTAAAATAGTTTATCTTTGAGTGTTACGGGTCAATTTGATTAGCGGCTACACATGAATCGTTCGTAGCGCCATCTTTAATCCCCGCCAAATCACGCGTGAAATAATAACTCGAACCCGCTATTCCAGTGTTCTACGTTTTGTTGGTCAGTTTTATTTTTAGTTAAATAAATAAACTGCTCATCTGCGATCGTTCGCGAGGCATTGCCTGCCGGATATTACTAATTAATATTAATTTGAACTTGACATTTTTCAACATTCGATACCGCCTACCACGCTTCCGATGAACAGTAGGCGGCGCCATTTTGTTTTATTTTCTCTTAAGTTGCACATGCGCAGAATAGCGATGACGTTTTGAAAACTAAGAACTCACTGGATATTAAACGAGTTATATGAAGACAAAAAAAAGATACGGATTTCGAAATGTGTAAAATAAATCCCCAACAAAGTTTGAAACACTATTAACTCTTTAAAATTCCGATAAACTACCTTTAACAGGGCACTATTGGTTCAAGTTAGATATAATGCTTTGGTTCGATACTTATTTGAGCATGGGTCGACACTGGGTCCTTGGCCTGAAATGATGACGCTATATTTTCATTGTTGTCAAGTTATGAAGTGCATTATGAATAGACTGAATAACTAACGTATTGGCGGACGTTCATTTGCGAACAAGTTTCTCTCTATGAACAACCTTAAAATGAAATGATCCTTGAATTGTATCAGAATTAAAGCTGCAAGCAGCAGTGACGGGACCATCAATGTAATTCGGAGAAACAGGAACAGGGAATAAATTGAATGCCAAGCGTTCGGTGTCAAGGAAACAGCGAGTTCCAATTCAACTTGGCATTTTAAAAAAAATCGCCAAGTTAGTATATTTAAAATATTCAAATAAGAGAATGCCTTCAAATCATACGACCCGACATCATCTATTTATATCCAAGAATCTGCATTGCTCTTAATACATATATACATACTATTGCCATAGTTATTGATTATACTAACGTCTTTACTAAATGGAAAGATCGGACACGTTCTTTCGCCATTTTTTTTCGCGGTGCACATAGTACATAGATAGTAATGTAGCAGGTGTTCGGAACATTGGGATGCATTTTAGAA